TGCGCAGCGGAAGGGCGCGGAAGGGGAACATTTTTGGATCGTCAAAAGGTGTAGAAATCTCTTGCTCCCCAGCCCTTGCTTGGGCCCAACAATGAATTGTTTTCGCCCCCGGGCCAAAAAACAATTTCTTCGAGCCAACAAATCGTTTCTGCACCAAACGCTTTTCACTGGCCTCACAAGCTGTTTTGGCCGTCACCCCGTAAGAAGCGCAGCTTTGTCTTCCGTGGGGGCAGATCGGCGCGCTTTTTTTCGAGTCTGCGCGCAGGCTTCTTCTGAAATGGCCGGCTGGGCCGAGATTTACTTTTGAGTTGAAGTGAAATGGTTTTTGCTCCCGGGCGTAAAAGCGATTTGTTCGGGCCAAACAAATCGTTTTACGCCCGGGCGCAAAAACGATTTGTTTGACCCGAACAAATCGTTTTTAGGCCCGGGGAGCAAAAACGATGTTACTGTTGTTTGGCCCGAACAAATCGTTTTTACGCCCGGGCGCAAAAACGATTTGTTTGACCCGAACAAATCGTTTGTAGGCCCGGGGAGCAAAAACGATGTTGTTTGGCCCGAACAAATCGTTTTTAGGCCCGGGGAGCAAAAACGATGTTACTGTTGTTTGGCCCGAACAAATCGTTTTTACGCCCGGGCGCAAAAACGATTTGTTTGACCCGAACAAATCGTTTGTAGGCCCGGGGAGCAAAAACGATGTTGTTTGGCCCGAACAAATCGTTTTTAGGCCCGGGGAGCAAAAACGATGTTACTGTTGTTTGGCCCGAACAAATCGTTTTTACGCCCGGGCGCAAAAACGATTTGTTTGACCCGAACAAATCGTTTGTAGGCCCGGGGAGCAAAAACGATTTTGTTTGGCCCGAACAAATCGTTTTTACGCCCGGGAGCCAAAACGATTTGTTTGGCGAACAAATCGTTTTTTAGGCCCGGGGAGCAAAAACGGTTTGTTTGGCCCGAACAAATCGTTTTTAGGCCCGGGAGCAAAAACGATGTTGTTTGGCCCGAACAAATCGTTTTTACGCCCGGGCGCAAAAACGATTTGTTTGACCCGAACAAATCGTTTGTAGGCCCGGGGAGCCAAAACGATTTTGTCTGGCCCGAACAAATCGTTTTTACGCCCGGGAGGAAAAACGATTTGTTTGGCCCGAGTCGTTTTTACGCCCGGGAGCAAAAACGATTTGTTTGGCCCGAACAAATCGTTTTTACGCCCGGGAGCAAAAACGTTTTGTTTGGCCCGAACAAATGGTTTTTACGCCCGGGGAGCAAAAACGATTTAACCCGAACAAATCGTTTTTGGGCCCGCGGAGCAAAAACGATTTGTTTGGCCCGAACAAATTGCTTTTACGCCCGGGAGCAAAAACGATTTGTTTGGCCCGAACAAATCCTTTTTGCTCCCCGGTTTTTGCTTCCCGGGCCTAAAAACGTTTTTTTCGGGCCAAACAAATCGTGATTGCTCCCCGGGCCTAAAAACGATGTGTTCGGGCCAAACAAATCGTTTTTGCTCCCGGGCGTAAAACGATTTGTTCGGGCCAAGCAAATCGTTATTGCTCCCCGGGCCTAAAACGACTTGTTCGGGCCAAACAAATCGTTTTTGCTCCCCGGGCCTAAAACGATTTGTTCGGGCCAAACAAATTGTTTTTGCTCCCCGGGCCTAAAACGATTTGTTCGGGCCAAACAAATCGTTTTTGCTCCCCGGGCGTAAAAACGATTTGTTCGGGCCAAACAACTCGTTTTTGCTCCCCGGGCGTAAAAACGATTTGTTTGGGCCAAACAAATCGTTTTTGCTCCCGGGCCTAAAATGCGTGGAGATTGATGTGGGGCTCAATTCGCGAAACACTGGAGGAAGGGCGCGGAAGGACCGCGGAAGGGTTTCGTGATTTGGATGACTTATGTGTGTGATGTGTTATTCTCGCTGGCACTGTACGGGAATCGTAGCCGCGGTGTGTTGTGAGGCTTCACGTTTGCGGTTGCAAATCTATTGGGATTCGCGTTTCAGCGTCGTTTTGAGTATGGAACCCATAAACCATTTGCTACAGCCGTCTAGGCTCCACAGACCAGGTCAGCGTTGCTTCACGAAAGAAACGGGTGGTGGAGAACAAGCTCAACATCTAGTTGTGTTGGCTTGGCAAGAAAGAGACGCAAGCCGCGGAAGGCGCGGAAGGGAAATGAGAGCGCGGAAGCAAACACCCGCAGCGCGGAAGCGCGCGGAAGCACGCGGAAACGCCAAATGATATCATCGCAATTTGGCCTATTGATTTTGATCACCGCTCATTGGTTTTTGCATTTTAATACGTGTTGTTATTGACCATGGTTTTGATTGCGATGTTTAAGGAAAGAATCCGAGCGGAGTTTCTAGATTTGGAGATCATTTGCAGAATGTTGTTTTTTGGAACAGGACGCTGTTTTTGGACTTCCTATTTCAAGCTTGATTCTAGCAAGAATATCCTTTTCCAGGATTGGCTTTTGAAATTGTCTGATTAGAATTAAAATCGAAATTCAAGTGAAACAAATCTGACATAAATTCGTTTTGAAGGACGATATTTCACTGGGGTTCTTCCTTCAACGTAGATTTTAAAGAGGGTTTCCTTCCCAGGATGTGTTTCCATGTTCTATTTGGAAGTTAAATTGGATTTCCAGTTCAACGGGAATTGCGAATCAGATTTGACTTTTCGATTTTGAAGAGGATGTCCTTGCTGAGGATGAGCTCATGCTGGTCAAGTCGCAAGGGGCAATCCAAACAAATCAATTGCATTTCCATCTCCAAATCAGCCTTCAAGCAATTGGATCGAATTGGATCGAATTGGATCGGCGAAGTGAGAGATAGCATCCGGTACATGAGCGTCCAGAACAGCGATGGCGCACGAGGAACCGATTCTACGGTTTCTGCAGATGATTGAGTAGCCGATCTAGAGGAGCGTGTGTTTGAGGACGGCAAGGGCGGTGTTTCGGATCTACGAAGAGCACGGCGTGGACACGATTGGGCTTCGAGTTGGGCAAGATGGAGTCATCGGGGAGGAAGACCTAGAGGAGAAGGAGGAGGAGGGGGGGCGGGAGGAGAGGCTGGCGGAACCATTGGCCTCGAAAGAACTCCAAGGTAGCAATGGAGGGCATCCAGCATTTGCACCTGGAGCAGACAAAGGCGAGAGTTCCTGAGCGCCCCGTTCAAGCAGTGCTACAACCGGGACATGCCAACCTTAAGCCCAAGCCCACCCAAAGCCCACGAAACCAACCCAACGGACCTGGCAAGTAATTCCCACAAATGCCCGAAAGAATGAAATTGAATGAAAACCTGGGTTTGACATGCTTGATGCTTGTATTTCCCTGCGCGGCGCGGCCTTGCCTTCAGGAATCTCGTGCAGGGAGAACTAAATAACAGTAAGCCTGAGGCCTTTTTTGTTGGTGGCTTTGGCTACGTTCAGAATTGATGTGATGGCTGAACGGGGATCCCGGGCATTAGAACTCTGGCAAGCTAAGGTACGAGCCTTTTGCTGGGAATGCCAACGACCCAACCAAGCCAGGCTGGATGCTGACACCAAGGCCCAGGAACCACTTGGATTTTGGAGGCCGCACTGCTTGCTGCTGCCCCACCAAGTGGGCCAGGCGGATATGGAGGCAGGAACCTGCAATGCAAGCAGCTGATCCGGGCACGGAGCATGTAGATGCTTCCAGGTGCCCAGCGCGAGCCTTGGATCCAGAGATTCTCATCAGAGGGGCTCCAAATGGCTGCATGAATGCTGCATGAGTAAGGCTTGGAGCAAAGGCCAAAGCGCCTGGGGCTGAGGGTGCGGTTGGCACCATGTCACGCCATGGCCTTGGGCTCCTTGAGTTCCGCAAGTGAGGCCGTACATCCCATCTGTATTGGAGACATCGCCCAAGTGCAGCCCTCGGTTGGGGCATGCCCGTTCCGTCACTTTCATGTTTTTCGTCAGCTGTCCCACGAGGCCAAAGGACCCGTTCTCATTCGTTTCTGATCTCACTGGCATCGGTGATGCCACTGCGAAGCTGTTGCCCCAGAGCCAAGGCCAAGTCATTGTTGAGGAATTGAATTGGTTTGTCGCCGGCTCAGTGCTCGTGTTGAGGTCTTGATGGATGTCGCTGCAGCCTGAGACAACCTGTGCATTTGAGTGAATTAAGTCTGAGCTTATCAAGGAGCAAACGCCATCAGCGAAATGTCGATTGCAGCAGATGCAAAACATGCTGATGTGCCGCTCACACCGGCAAGCTTGTTTTCGCGCCTACGCAATATGTTGAGGTTTGCTTCCGTGAGGGTAAGGCAGTGAACTTATTTAGCTCCCATCTCCATCACATTGTGAGCAAGGCCCCAGCTATCAAGTGAAAAGGGAGCCCAGGTTTGGAGCACATGTTCGAGGACCTGTCTTCACAATAAGCAAATCAGTTTATGTGGGTTTGGGTCTGATCATTGGTGACCATGAACTTCACCGTGCACAAAGCAATCAGCAGGTTCCAAATATATTTGTGCGTGCGGGATGGCCATTTTCATTTGCAGCTTTCAGAGCCCCAGAGACAGGAGAATAAGACAAGCGGTCGCACAAGCCGCCGAAAGCAAAGCGCAATTCTGGGGATGCTAAGTTGTTGCAGCCTTGACGCGGGTCTGAATGTGCGTCCTGCTAGCCAGGGCTTTGTTTGCAGCGTGCGTGCGCCCTACTTTGTTGCCACAACATGAGATGCTTGCCACAAGCATTCAACAGCGTATGTTTGAAAGGCAGTTGATGTAGGCATGGTTGGGCAACATGTAGGGCGTCTCAAGCAGGGCTTTGGTCACACAATGAGTTTTGAAGATCTCTCGGCAAATTATGGTACTGAGCAAAGACGAGTGGCAGGAAGAGCTACGGACAATTTAGGCAATCTTCACGTGCCTGCATTGACCCCATGGCCCACAAGCATGCCACAAGCTCCCACACCTAGCGCGACCTGCTTGTCCTTTTTGGCAACTCCTGAGCTCTTGCCTTTCAAGTTCGCACTTTTCGGAGTTGGCGCTCCGTAAGCTGCGTTGCTCAAAGCGCCGGGCAATGGCCCGGCTGCGGTGAAGACAAGGCGTGATGATTCTTAGATCTTTTTGCCAGATCTTGCCAGACCTTGCCAGATCTTGCCAGATGGCGATGACCATGGACCCGCTTCGCTTTTCACCCGGGCAGACGCCGTCACATCGACTTCGGCAGACGGGGGCCAGCGTCCTCGGAGGCCGCACGACATCACGACGCGCTGCACGCAGCGCCGCGCTGTGCGCAGTGCCAGGTGAGGGCTCAAGGCCGGAGTCCGGCGCGTGCCGACGCAGCTCAGGCGCTCAATGGCACTCAGCGGTCTTTGACTTGAGCAGCGACCGTGGCAGGACGAGTAGATGCATCGCCCGCTCGGCCTTCAGTTTCATGATTTGTTGATGTGCTGCTTTTGCTATGCTCTCTGTGAGGCCTATGCGCCCTATGCACCTCAGATGCCCGGCGATCTTCCACCTGGCATGACCAGCGTGCGATCTGCGGGGGGCATAAGTGTGCAGCGGGAGTGGCTGCATCGATTTCATTGTCTAATGCACCATGGGCAGCAAAGACATCAAAGACATCAAAGAGCATGGACCAAGGGAAGCTCAAATGCAGAGGCCGCTTGGGAGACATCGAGACCTGTGAGTTGCGGGTCACAAGCTTCGGGCATTTCCCTGCAGCCTGACGTGGACGAGCGGCCTCCATCGGCCTCCAAGTCAGGGCTGCTCTACACAGACACGGCTCCATCGTAACGGGCCAAGAGAGCGAGAGAGCGAGAGAGAGAAAGAGAGAAAGAGAGGGAGAAAGAATGGAGTGAGGTTGTTTCAAAGCCCCGTTGAGCTAAGTTTAGTATTCGGAGGTCCTTTGTGTCCAAGACTGCTCCGTTCTACTGAACATTTCACAGAAATGGCCCTACCCTCATATCACATATCTGTGTGTGTGTGTTTTTTTTTCTGATTACAACGGCTGAGAAGTTTCAAGCTGGAGTTACCAAACTGCAACACTGTACTTGTACTGAGGGGCTTATCACTGAGCAGCTAACCTCAAGTGACATTGGCAAATAGGTTCGCGGAGTGAGGCTGGAGAATTTCAGCGGCCCGGCTCAGAACGTTCCGGTGCTGCGCAAGGCTCCGCAAGGGTCATGGCTCAGATGTCCTTTGATTGTCCAGTCCAGTCTCGAACAGGTTTGAGCATTCTTTCTGCAAGGTGCAGCAGCGGCGCTACCGGGGCCCGCCTGAGCAGATTCCAAAGGCTCACTCAGGGCAACCTGCTCGGTTTCAAGTTCTGACTTGAAGCTCAGGCAGTGTGGTCGGATAGCGTGGCTCACTTGGCTCCAGAGGAGCCAGCTTCTCATCCAGTGAATTTAAGATCACGAATGAATGAAACGAGTACGACGCTGAGGGAGTGGCCACTACATGCTGTGCCGCTCTTTATTTTCGGAGGAGTTGACAGGCAAGGCCGCCGATGCACTGCGCAGGAAGCCTGTGCAACCTGTTGCAACCTGTTGCAACCTGTTGCAACCTGTTGCAACCTGTTGCAACCTGTTGCAACCTGTTGCAACCTGTTGCAACCTGTTGCAACCTGTTGCAACCTGTTGCAACCTGTAGCCCTGCAAGGCCTCGGCCAGCCTACAGGGAGGAGCTGAAGTTCACGCTTCGCAACGACAAGTGAGCCGATCGATTGCCACCGTACCTGTGGAAATCAGATCTGGGTCAGGTATGTCAGCTTTGCGCTGAGATTGCGGTGTGGTACCGGGGATCATTATATGGGCGCCTTCGCTGCATGAGAGCCTAGAGATGAAAGAGTTCAGGGTCCATGGGTCGCCTTGCCTGCATGTGGACAGGTGGAACCATTGGTCTCCTTCACAATCCAGAGCGCACCGAGGCTCATGCAGTGAATGTATATCCCTGTATGTCCCGAAGTGCAGGCGCTGGCTGGTGATGAGGGCCAATTGGCAACAATTCTGGACTTGGCATGGATCTAAGACATTCTAAGACGCGAAGACGTCGGATGGCACAAGGCCTGCAATTTGTTTGCTTTTTGCCGAGCCACCTTAAGGTCGTTCAGCCAGACAATTCTGTCATCGTGTGCGCCTGCCATGCGTACTGAGTATTCCTGGCTGACAAATTCCAACACTGCCCCCACCATCCCTACCCAAGAAGGGCGATAGAGCAGATCCCCCCGATCCAAATTAGAGAGGCCGAAAGGTAGGCTTGCCGATGTGAATGGCAAGTATTGCTGAGAGTGACAGTTGTTTAGATTCATGGGCCGTTGGTGTGTGCTGAAATTGCCACTGCAACTCCTTTTTCTCTTTTGGCCAAGAACAACGAGATCCTAGAAACACGTGTCTTAAAGGACAGCAATTGGCGACCTGGACTTCACTGTCGCACGCACCTGGATGTGGCCTGCTAAGACTCGTAAGACTTGCTATGACGCGTCTGCAAGTCGTTTGCAAGTCCTTTCGGATCGAGCACGCCTAGGCCTCGCGGCTTGCGCGGACTCCAGCTGGCGTTCGTAGACGTACACCGGTCGAAGGCAGGGCCCATTTTGTACGGCAGCGCAGGTGATTTGTAGCAACTGTTATCACTACCATGCGTTCGTTGCAGACTTCAACTTGGCTCCACTGCGGATCATGAGTCTAGGTACCAGCCTTACAACCTCTCCTTCGGACCTGCGATGAAGAGCTGGAAACTTGGTCTAGTGTTTTCGATGTTTTTGTTTTGTGAGATGTGACAGACAATTGGTGTCCCGTGCGCATTTTGGGCTCAGGCCAGGATTTGCGCTCTTTGGGCAGCTCGTGGCCAGAGCACACGGCTTTGAACAAGTGGCGGAGGCAGAGCCCCAAGGGCAAGGGGGCCCCAAGGTTCGCAATGGTTCGCAATGGTTCGCATCTCACTGGAGTCACCGAATCACGGACGCACCGACTGCCAGGCCCTGAACGGCGCAGACGGGCCGTTCACGGTCTTCGTGCCCCGGGATGACCAGCTGTTTGCCGCTCTAGGGGGAGGACCTGCGGAGCAGAATCTGCAGATCTCACAGATTGATATCTCAGGATCTGTCGAGGAGATGCTCCAGACTCCATACCTTCAGGCGCATGCTGGGTTGAACTTGGCCCACATCGACTCGGAGTCGCGTTGAGCCTGCGAGGCGATTCTCGCCTGTCACATCGTTAGAGGAAAAGTGCCCTTCGAGGCTCAATCCAACGGACCGTTAGAATTGTAGCGGAACGTATCGAAATCGGGATCCGGTCAGGCGTCGATTGGATTCGATAGGCCCTGTACAGTGGCCGAACGCTGAAAGCCATCGACGGCTCGGTGCTGATGGCTCTGGGCTCAGCTGCAGGCTTGGGTATTGTACTTTGCTTAACATCACATGACATGCATGTATATATTATATATATGTATATATATATATGTATATATATATATGTACTTTAGAGCCTCCGGCTCAGTCCGCCAACATTGTCCTCTCCCTTTTCTCCTTCTTCCTCTCTCCCTTGTCTCCCTTGTGTGTTCTGTCGTCCTCTCTCCCTCCCTCTGCTCCCCATCCTCCCCATCCCCCCAAGCCTCTCTCTCCCCAATCTCCCTCTCTCGTATGTATGTATGCATGTATATATGTATGTCTGTATGTAATGTATGTATGTATGTAATGTAATGTAATGTAATGTATGTATGTATGTATCAATGTAATGAATGTACGTATGTATATATGTATGTATGTATCTAGTGTATGCATCTAGTGTATGTATGTATGTATGTATGTATGTATGTATGTATGTATGTATGTATGTATGTATGTATGTATGTATGTATGTATGTATGTATGTATGTAATGCATGTATGTATGTATGTAATGTAATGTAATGTAATGCTAATGTAATGTACTGTAATGTAATGCTAATGCTAATGTAATGTAATGTAATGTATGTATGTATGTATGTATGCATGCATGTATGTATGTATCTATTGTATGTATGTATGTATGTATGTATGTATGTATGTAATGTAATGCAATGTAATGTAATTCAATGTAATGTGATGTAATGCAATGTAATGCAATGTAATGTATGTATGTATGTATGTATGTATGTACGTCCCCAGTATTTCCCGCAAAAAACACGGTTTTTCCAGCGTTTTCGCAAAGAGGACGTCTAAAAACATTGAGTTTCGGCAAAAGGATGCAGGAAGCCCCAGCCAGCCAAAAAGCCGGCAGGGGGCTCCCCGAAGACTACGTTTAGTGGAACGTCATCAAATTGCCGTGCGGTACGTGGGGGACCCCCTGAGGCCCACTGCCGGGGTACCTATCCCAGAAAAGAATTGATACCTTGTAATAGTAGAGGTCGTTTATGTGGCCCCTGGATCTCCGGAGAGAGTCCAATATGCCAATATGGATCATTGGGGGATGGATTGTCCCTGGTGGATTGTATTGCTGTATAATCCTGTATGCGGCCTGCAAAGGTTCCTTTGTCACGCGATCATGAGTATTGCTATGGTACAGAAGGGCCTTGAGCCAAATGGTTGCAGGCGATCAACATTGGTCAAAAACAGACACAAAACAGACCGAATTTCTTTTGATCGCCGGCACTAGATATGAAATATCTTTGGCTTCTTGGCCTTCGGCCGTAGCCTTGATTTATGCCGTAGCCATGTGCATTGGAATGCTGAATTCATCCTGTTTTCAGCGCGGATGAAATGTCTTGATTTGCAAAATGGGAAACAGTCTGTACTGATTCTGTGAGATACCTAGATGTATCTAACAGATGATGTACAACGCTATGAACATGCGGGACGGATGTGAAACTATTGATCTCTCACTGAATAGTCTTGTTGGCGGTGAGGATCAATTCGGTTGAAATTTGTAGTGCCGAGTTCGGGTGTTCTCTCAGTCGAGCTTCAGAAAAACTTCTTTCCTTGGCGGATCACTCAGACCAAAGGAGGTCGAATGGATGCCAGAGGTGGCAGCTTCATCAGATAGTCAACGGTTCCACCGATAGCTGCTGTCGGATTGGCTGCCGTAGTCTCCGTAGTCGTGCCACTTCCACTGCTTCGGATTGCCCCACTGCTGCTTGTTGTATTCCATGTACTCCTGCTGAGTCCAGGGTTGCTTCTTCTTGAGGTATTCCTTGGATCGCTCAAAGTTTCGCTGCTTGGTGGCAGATCTGCTGCGGATGTAGACCATCAGCGGACTGTGTGAGTCGGAATCTTGAGAGCCATTCATGAACATCTCGTTGTTCACGTGCTTGAAGCGTTCCGCGGATGAGACCTGATAGTCGACAATCATCTTTCATTGCGTCCATCTCTTCCTTCCGGAAAACCTGCTGGATGTTTGTTTTGCTTTATCCAATTACAGAAGTCATCATGACATCTGGGAATGTTCGATCAAACCCGGATCGTGATGACGGACGATGGATTTCAGGGTGCAGCAAGTCTCCATTGCATATTCCATTCTGTCCACGAGTGGCAAGTTCTCCGTTTCATTCCACAATCTCTGGTATGCTTTCATGAGGATATTCCTGAGACCGTTGGCCGGATTGTAGACCTGTTGGAGTTTGCTGTAGGTGTTCGCGGACTTGTTGGTGTCTCCGGTGATCGCGCCGCATTTATTTACAATGTCACGAGCAGCATGATTTCGGTTTGAAAATCGTCCCGTGCTGCTCCATGGCTGATTGCTGTATGGATGTGAAAAAATCCAATGGTAGCAAACGGGAGGTCTGCCCTCGTCACATGGCGGCTGTCGAATTCGAGGAGTGTTTCTTTGGATGACTTTGGAAACACGCCACGAAATTCATCACTTTGCTCGATGTGGAGGACGACAATTTCCTTGTTGCGCCCATGTCCTTGGACAGTTGTGCGTGGCGGCAACCTCGGTCCAATGTACTTCTTGGATTCCATGAACATGGATGTTCCTGTGGTTCCCAGGCAGTCAGAGGTCGGGATGTTGTATTCGGCATCAGTGCACAATGGTTCTCGGTTCCGAAGAAGCATCTGAACATACCGAATGTAGTTCCCCTGTTTTGATTCCTTGTGGAAATGTGCCGTGTCAATAGTTCCACTCTTGCGGAAGGTCCGCCGCGGACAAAGCATGCGATTGGTCTGGATGACCATTGCTTGATAACTATGCCCTTGTATCCAAACCGGATGAACGTCTTGATGAGTTCCTTGGATTTCTCGTCTTGAGGACTGAGGAATGCGTCTGCTTCATTTAGGCATATGATGCGCGCGCTGTTCTGCATCATCATTTTCGTGATTGGTCGATCCTTCATCGCCATGTTATTCACCTCCTTGTTGTCCAGCTTTGGGTTCCTCGTAAGGTTTCCGTGGTTCATGGTGAGCATGTTGATCGTCATGGATGAGGTGAACTCATGTGCCTTGAGATGGTCCACAGGAGTCAGTTGGCTGCATCAGCGATCCCAGGATGTCAGCAAATGCTTGGATGACCTCTGGTTTGTCATATGTCTTGAGCTTAGTCAATCCAATTGGAAGCTTGATCGGATATCCTTCCATGTATGGCCATTCTCCTCGATGGTGGAAATAGAATTCTTCTTCCCCAAGGTTGGCATCTGGATCGACATGTGCCAATGAGGCTTGCTCGCATTCTCTCAATTTGGGATAAGCTCTCTTTGGATCCCTGTTGTACTTCTCCATGAAGCGGATGAAGTTTTTTTGGTCTCCTGGAGCTCTTCCCCGGCGACCTTCTTGTTCATGTCTATTTCAAGGTATATCTCCTTGAATTCCTTGATGAACTCTTCTAGGTTCTCGGGATTGTGATATTCCATGGTGACCTTCACCTTGACGGATCTCTCCCCGGAGGGTTCCATGTTCTCCTCATCATTTTCGCCCTGATCGGTGGAGCGCCGTCGCTTCTTGGTCTCTGTGGATGTATCTTTTTCGGACTTTTCCTTGTCTTATTGGTCGGTATTCACATATTTGAAGAAGGCATCGGCGAATTCATGGATCTTGCTGTTGTACATCTCAACGTCTTCACGACCGAGATTCTTCTTCACGATCCAGTTGTTGCTCATTATGATGTTCCCATCAGGATCAAATGCTGCAACAATATTCTTCGCCTCGATGGTTTGTTCTGTCAATGCTGTTCGCTCTTCGGAGAGTCGGATGCCGTAGTCCTGGTCTTTGAGGAATGCAAGGATCAACAATGCATCTCTTCCTGTTGGCACATGTGTCAATGCTGCTTCTGACGCGTCGTCGTCGAGGATAACGTCGTCGATGCATGCCATGTGGATGTGCGCTCTCCCCGACAAGTTTGACTGGGATTTTCTAGGTCTGAGCCCGTTCTCCATGATGCTGATGAGTTGATTTCCATAGGTTGCATGGAACATGAACGTGATGGGCTTCTTCGCGAACGGCTTGATCTTTCTTTCTTCTTCAATGGATGGTGGTGCCGGCCTTCGCATTCTGTATTTTGCCTGGGCTGTGCCTTCGTTTTCATGGGGCGCGTCGGATCTTGAAGGATGCGGACTTGGAGGAATGGATTCTGTTGGAAGATCGTAGTCCGGTTCTTCTTGACGAGGTTCACTCTTCTGTCCAGACCAAAGGGGGCGTCCAAAGTATTGGAGATCGACTTGTCGAGTATCCATCTCTCAATCATTGAGGAATCCTCCTGAGTGAATCACATGCGGATCTGGATGTGAGGTTGTCGATCCATCGATTCCTTGGAACAATGCGTCCCTTGGCCTTGCGCTCATTGTATACACGAAAGCAATCTCGAAACGTGCCTTTCCATAATCCGGGAGCATAGCCATCAGGAGAAGTCCTGGCTTATTGCCCATGAAGTTCTTCGCATGTGTAACGCATCCCAATGCGTCGTAGAGCTCAACGGATCCGTCAGGATTCATTTCCACTGGTCGTTGGCATTCTCTGTGGTTGCCCTGTTTTGGATCATGTCGAAAACATCCGGAAAACAATCTGCTCAATCGCTCGATTCGCCAGAGGATGAGGTCGGTGATCTGTTTTGCCTTGGATTCATCCATGTGGAAATATTTGCAAACCTGCTCAACATTCTGGACGGTCTTGTCAAGATCAATCATGCGGTTGTGGCAGTCGGATGTCTCATCTTCCTCGTCGCGAGCAGGGGATTCCTTCAAAGGAGATGCACGTCTCTTCACTAGCGGCTTCGGCGAAGGAGCCGCAGTGCCGGATTGTCCAAAGATCATGCTGAGAATCGGCGTGTCTTCAAGGTGATCAAGCATACACGATTGCAAAGGCCGGAATGGTTGTAAACCGAAGTGGCTGCGGATGCAGACACATATTTCTTGAGATTCAAAATGGGTCAAGTGCAAAAACACACATCACGGATTCGAGGAATT